CACTGCTACGTCTGCCTTAGTTGCTGAGCTTGTCAACTTTGCTGCTCGTTGTTGTCTAGACTACGCTGCTAGTCTTGTTGCTGAGTCTGAGTCTGTCTGTCCTTCGTCCGTCGGGGGTGAGTGTGCTCTTAGCATTTACGTCCTTGAGGACAGGCAGGAGGAGTTCCAGTGTTTTGCTGCTGCTTTGCCTCATCTCGTGTCCACGCTGATTGCCCCTGAGGGAGACCCGGATGCACCAGACATCCCGACTCCTCGATCGTACGCTGAGGCGATCGAGGGTCCCTACTCCTCACAGTGGCAGTCAGCCATGGACGCAGAGATGGCTTCCTGAAAGTCCACAGGCATCTACGTCGACGAGGTTCCCCCATATGGGGCGAACATCGTCAGTGCCATGTGGATTTTCTGGGTGAAGCGGCCGCCGGGTTCTCTGCCTGTCTTCAAGGCGCGTTACGTGGCTCGAGGCTTCAGTCAGCGGCAGGGAGTTGACTACTTTCAGACCTTCTCCCCTACCCCGAAGATGACCACTCTTCGGGTGCTGCTGCACATAGCCGCTTAGCTCGACTACGAGCTTCACTCTCTTGACTTTGGCACACCTTTCTTGCACGGCAGCATGCACGAGGAGATCTGGCTGCGCCGCCCACCTGGCTTGACTGGGTCGTTCCCCCCTGGTACCCGGTGGAGCCTCCAGCGGCCAGTCTACGGTCTCCGCCAGGCGCCCCGTGAGTGGCATGACACACTGAGGACTACACTTGCGGCTCTTGGGTTTGCTCCTTCTACAGCCGACCCGTCGCTGTTTCTGCGCACCGACACCTCTTTGCCGCCGTTCTACATCCTCGTGTATGTCGATGACTTGGTCTTTGCCACTGCTGACACTGCTGGACTCGCCTACGTGAAGGCCGAGCTGCAGAAGAGACACACGTGCACAGACCTGGGTGAACTGCGCAGCTACCTTGGCTTGCAGATCACCTGGGACAGAGCACAGCGCACCATTACCCTGACTCAGTCACACATGGTGCAGCTGGTCCTTCAGCGCTTCGACTTCACGTACTCCTCGCCTCAGGCCACTCCTTTGTCTACTCGCCACTCGCTCTCAGCTCTGCCTTCGGATGAGTCCATAGAGCCGAGTGGCCCATACCCAGAGCTTGTTGGGTGCCTCATGTACCTGATGACTTGCACACGACCTGACCTAGCATACCCTCTTAGCATCTTGGCATGCTATGTGGCTCCTGGGAGACACCGACCAGAGCACATGGCTACAGCAAAGAGGGTGTTGCGCTACTTGTGCAGTATGTCGGGCATGGGGCTAGTGCTTGGAGGGCGACGTCCAGTGGTCCTCACAGGTCACGCAGACGCTTCTTGGGCTGACGACCAGGCTACGCAGCGGTCGTCACAGGGTTACACCTTCAATCTTGGTTCCGGCTCTGTCTCGTTGCGGTCTACCCGCCCGTTTTCTGTTCTCGGCTCCAGCCGTGAGGCCAAGATCTACGCAGGGGCCATGGCTGCATAGGAGCTACGCTGGCTCACCTACCTGCTGATTGACCTAGGAGAGCCGCCTTGTTCTCCTCCAGTTCTGTACGTAGACAACAAGGCCATGTTGGCCTTGTGTCGGGAGCACAGACTGGAGCACAGAACGAAGCACATTGCTCTTCGCTAATTCCTTGCTCGTGAGCTGCAGCAGCGCGGTCAGCTGCGCCTTGCTTACGTGGCCTCTGAGGCCAACACTGCTGATATCTTTACCAAGGCACTTCCGACTTGTGATCATCAGCGCTTTTGTACTTTGCTAGGTCTTGTGCCTACTTGACCTCACTTGCTCACTTCTTGACTTTGCTTGTACTGTGATCTATATATACCTGCAGTTGCATGCTTACCTTTGCTAGATTGAGATCACTGCTCTGTTTGTTCATCTTGGTATATAACTCTGCATGTGAACTGGCCTTGTGGCCTTGTGCTTGTGCTCAGATTGTGTGGTGACGTTGTGATCCACCCTGGGCTTGCCTTGTTTCTCTTGACTGGTCTTGTGACCCCTTGTTCTCCCCCACTTTGCATATGGGGGTGTGTCGAACTTATATGCTGTAGTTTGTTTAGGCTGTAGTGGGGTAGTCTATATGGTGTACAGCACTTTAGGGTTTCCTAGTACTCCTCATGCTGCTCAATGCAATCATTCCTCATTTCTCACACGCATACGAGTCACGCAAACTGCATCTGCCCGAGAAAAATTACCCGATACACGGCCGCAAAATGCTTGCGATCGTGCACGCGTTCAAAGTATGGCGCTGTTACTTGACCGGCGCAGACGTGACAGTACGGACAGACCATAAATCACTACAGTACCTCCTCGCACAGCCACACCTCAACCCACGACAGATCCGCTGGCTCGATTTCCTCGAGTCAAATTTCCACTACACAGTCACCTACAAAAAGGGGGCATCGAACATCACTGACGCCCTGACTCGCCCCGCTGCCCAGATTCACGCAATACTACTCGCCCAGACAAATCCACTATTGACAGGCCTATTCACCCACGGGTACCAAACGGACCCATTCTTCACAGGAGAAAATTCGCAGCAGTTTGCAGCAGCAAAGGGAGTCTATTATGTAAAAGCCGGGACCGACCGCATCTGGGTACCAGGATACACAATTGCTACAGGAGTTACTGTTATAGGAGGCACACGGCGGAGTTACCTCAGGGCATTTCGGGGTAGAGAAAACACGGCAGCAGCTGCAGCGGTACTATTACTGGCCCGAGATGTTGACCGACGTACAACGACACGTGGCATCGTGTCCCACTTGCCAGCTCATGAAATCATCACGGAAGCGGCCGGCAGGAGAGTTGTAGCCGATACCACCCCCAGAGCGTGCTCGGCTGTAGGTGACGATGGATTTTGTCACGGGTTTACCGGCCGGGCCAAGTGGGAACGACACGATCCTGGTCGTCGTCGATCGACTGACGAAAATGGCACACTTCGCAGCATGCAAAAAATCAATCACAGCCGAAGTAACAACACGTCTCTTCATCTCCACCGTCGTTCGGCTGCACGGGATACCAGCGGTGATCATCAGCGACCGAGATACGAAATTCACAAGCAGAATCTGGCGGAACCTGTGGCAACAATTCAGTATGCGACTACAGTTCCGTTCTTCATACCACCCCAAGACCAACGTACAGACAGAGAGGACAAATCATACGATGGAACAACTCATTCGAGCCACGTGCGACGACCCAACCACTTGGGAACATCAATTGCCACTCATTGAATTCGCGTACAATAACTCACCCTCTGCCATGACCCAGCAGTCGCCGTTTTACCTGAACTACAGACAGGACCCAACAGTACCCATGACCCCGAATCCTGACAACCCGGTGCTATGAGCACAATAGTTCGCCGAAATTTTACAAGAAGCACGGACCCGGGCAGCAGACACAATAAAAAAATCGAACATCATCGCTAAACGTAACGCCGACCGCCACCGCCATCACTTACCAGCCCGCCGACCTAGTTTTACTTGACACCCAGAACCTCCGCCTGCCCATCACCCCAAAACTTCGCCCCCAATACTGTGGACCATTCCGCATTAGCCACATGATTACGCCCATCACCGCCCATCTCCTCCTCCCCGCTGACTGGTATGTCAGCCCATCCTTCCACGTCAGCTTACTTCGCCCCTACATACCGTCCACAAGCCAACTGCCACGTAATTGCCCAGCCAGCATGACACGACCACCGACTGAACCAATCATCACACCTGAGAAAATTCTGAGCCACAGAGTTCGTGACCCTCGAGGAGCCCGAAGGATCGAGTTCCTGATCCGCTGGAAAGACCGTACACCCACCGAAGACAACTGGGTTCCCCTGGACAGAGTCAAAAACCACCCTCTCCTCACCGAGTATCTGCACAGCCAAAACTTCAGAGATGTACACGCGCTTTCGTAAGGAAGACCTCCTTAGGGGGGGTGGGGGTAGTGTAAGGAAAATTCCTTTCCCTTACTTCCCGTCCCCGCTCAGCGCGTACACCACTATAGCACCACAGTCAGCACCGTTACCATTCGCAACCCTCGCATCGACAATTCTCCCGCCACTTTAGCACGTTGCACCCAGACCTCACGGCTCGGCGGGTACCCCGCGCTCCGGGCCTCCGCTTCGACATTTCCCCAAACCTTAGTCCCAGGCACGTCGCGCGACAACCACAGTCCATTACCGTTACCACTGTAGTTTCGCTATATATTCTTCGCTCATGCCTTCGCTCAAAGAACTCTTGCTTCGATAGTGCAATTCTCGCTCGCTCACTCAATTGCACTCGTAACACATATGCATTGTTATAAAAAGTAGTAACCACAACTAGAGCACAAAATGCATTGGTGGTTTACATTCAGTTTGAGTGAATAGAGATAAGGTGTCACATTACATTTCCAAGTTGCGGCTACCGTACTCAATAATAAGCGATCCCTCAGAGAGTTTAGGATACACCATTTCCTATACCATAAGTTACGGAGAGGTTTGTGTACGATATATTAAGGCATTCTTGCGACTGCAAATCAAAATCGCATAATCTCGTACAAAAAATGAATAACCGGACGTCAAAACGGCACCACGTATCGTGACACTTGTTTAGGCATTCGATGGTCTGAAACTATGCAAGGATAGGCTAGTGCGTAACATGTTACCGTTTCAATGCTTGGATGTTTTTTTTAGCACTATTTCTTCACACATCCAGGTAGTACGTCATCCCAAATACACAGCACGCGACGCTTGTGTGTGCGTTTGCTGGCCTGAATGTGTGCAAGGATAGGCCTGTGCACAACATGTCATCTTTTCAACGTTTGGATGTTGCTTTTAGCACTGTATATTCACACATGTAGTATGTCCTATTCCCTTGCCACGGAATTTGGTTTGGGCTCGTTCGCCCAACTACACTGCACGTGATGCTTGTTTGTGCGTTTGCTGGCCTGAATGTGTGCAAGGATAGGCCTGTGCGCAACATGTCATCGTTTCAGCATTTGGATGTTATTTTTAGCACTATTTATTCACACATTCAGGTATTACATCCTATTATCTTCCGATAGGAACTGGTTTGACCTCGTTCGCACAACTACGCAGCACGTGATGCATGTTTATGCGTTTGCTGGCCTCAAAACTGTGCGAGGATAGGCCTGTGCGCAACATGTCACTGCGCCAACGTTTGAATGCCTTTTTAACCACTATTTATTCACACAGTCCTCAACTAAATCCTATTACCTAGCCATAGGAATGGATTTCATCTCGTCAGCACAAGTACGCAGCTCGTGGTACATATTTGTGCGTTTGCTGGCCTGAATCTGTGCAAGGATAGGCCTGTGCGCAACATGTCACCGTTTGAACATTTGGATGTTGTCTTTAGCACTATTTCTTCACACATTCAGGTATTACATCCTATTCCCTTGCCATGAGAACTCGTTTGACCTCCTTCGCCAAACTACGCTGCATGTGACGCTTGTTTGTAGTAGTAGTAATAGTAGTAGTAATAGTAATAGTAGTAGTAGTAGTAGTAGTAGAAGTAGTAGTAGTAGTAGTAGTAGTAGTAGTAGTAGTAGTAGTAGTAGTAGTAGTAGTAGTAGTAGTAGTAGTAGAACTAGTAGTAGTAGTAGTAGTGGTGGTGGTGGTGGTGGTGGTAGTAGTAGTAGTAGTAGTAGTAGTAGTAGTAGTAGTAGTAGTAGTAGTAGTAGTAGTAGTAGTAGTAGTAGTAGGGGTAGTAGTAGTAGTAGTAGTAGTAGTAGTAGTAGTAGTAGTAGTAGTAGTAGTAGTAGTAGTAGTAGTAGTAGTAGTAGTAGTAGCACTAGTAATACAAGTAGTAGGAGTAGTAGTAGTAGTAATAGTAGTTGTCGTAGTAGTAGTAGTAGTAGTAGTAGTAGTAGTAGTAGTAGTAGTAGTAGTAGTAGTAGTAGTAGTAGTAGTAGTAGTAGTCGTACTAGTAGTAGTAGTTGTTGTAGTAGTAGTAGTAGGAGTAGTAGTAGTAGAAGTAGTAGTAGTAGTAGTAGTAGTAGTAGTAGTAGTAGTAGTAGTAGTAGTAGTAGTAGTAGTAGTAGTAGTAGTAGTAGTAGTAGTAGTAGTAGTAGTAGTAGTAGTAGTAGTAGTAGTAGTAGTAGTAGTAGTAGTAGTAGTAGTAGCACTAGTAATACTAGTAGGAGTAGTAGTAGTAGTAATAGTAGTTGTCGTAGTAGTAGTAGTAGTAGTAGTAGTAGTAGTAGTAGTAGTAGTAGTAGTAGTAGTAGTAGTAGTAGTAGTAGTAGTAGCACTAGTAATACTAGTAGTAGGAGTAGTAGTAATAGTAGTTGTCGTAGTAGTAGTAGTAGTAGTAGTAGTAGTAGTAGTAGTAGTAGTAGTAGTAGTAGTAGTAGTAGTAGTAGTAGTAGTAGTAGTAGTAGTAGTTGTTGTAGTAGTAGTAGTAGGAGTAGTAGTAGTAGAAGTAGTAGTAGTAGTAATAGTAGTAGTACTAGTAGTAGTAGTAGTAGTAGTAGAACTAGTAGTAGTAGTAGTAGTAGTAGTAGTAGTAGTAGTAGTAGTAGTAGTAGTAGTAGTAGTAGTAGTAGTAGTAGTAGTAGTAGTAGTAGTAGTAGTAGTAGTAGTAGTAGTAGTAGTAGTAGTAGTAGTAGTAGTAGTAGTAGTAGTAGTAGTAGTAGTAGTAGTAGTAGTAGTAGTAGTAGTAGTAGTAGGGGAACTGGAGTATAGAACTGGAGGGGAACGAGGCGCCTCTCCCAAGTCGGTCAGCACGTAGGTGAGCCAGCTTAACTCCTGTGCAGCTATGGCTTTGGCGTAGATCTCAGCCTCACAACTGGAGCTGAGAACAGAAGACGAGCGGGTAGATAACCACGATACAGAGCCAGAACCAAGGCTGAAGGTGTAACCCTGTGACAACCACTGCGTAGCCAAGTCGTCAACCCAAGAAGCGTCTGCGTGAACAGTACGGACAACTACTGCACAGGTAGCGCAACACCCTCTTAGCTGCATCCATGTGCTCTGGTCGGTGTCTCCCAGGAGCAACATAGCGTGCCAGGATGCTAAGAGGGTATGCCAAGTCAGGTTGAGTGCAGGTCATTAGGTACATGAGGCAGCCTACAAGCTCTGGGTACGGGCCACTCGGCTCTACGGACTCATCTGAAGGCAGAGCTGAGAGCGAGTGGCGAGTAGACAGAAAAGTGGCCTGAGGCGAGGAGTACGTAAAGTTGAAGCGCTGAAGGACCTGCTGCATCATGTGTGACTGAGTCAAGATAATGGTGCGCCGTGCTCTGTCCCGGGTGATCTGCAAGCCAAGATATTTGCGCAGCTCACCTAGGTCTATGCACGTGTGTCTCTTATGCAGCTCCGACTTCACGTGGGCCAGTCCAGCAGTCAAGGGGGAGGGACCCGCGCGTCGTCGCGACGAGCAGGGACGGCGCCTAGGGGGCGCCGCGACAAGCAGGGACGACGCCCAGTGGGCGTCGCAACAAGCAGGGGCGACGCCCAGAGGGCGCCGCGACGAGCAGGGGCGACGCCGCACAGGTCCCGCAGGGGCATCGCGACGAGCAGGAGCGGCGCCGCGCGGGTCCCGCAAGGGCGTCGCGACGAGCAGGGGCGACGCCCGGGTCCCTCAGGGGCGTCGCGGGGACCAGGGGCGGCGTCGCGGGGTCTAGGAGTGGCGTCGTAGGGTCCAAAGGCGGCGTCGCGGGGTCCAGGGGCGGCGTCGTGAAGTCCAGGGGCGGCGCCGCGGGGTCCAGAGGCGGCGTCACGGGTGCAAGGCAGGCCCGCGAGCGGTCTGCAGGGTAGGGCGACAGGCAGGCGCTCGAGGGCTCGGATAGGGCAGGCGCTCGAGGGCGCGGGTAGGCAAGCGCAAGGCGCGTGACGGGGCAGGCAGGCACGGCAGTGCGCTTTGGGCAGGGCAGAAAAAAAAAGTCCGTGGTGGTGGGCCCTAAAAAAACGTTCCCATTAGGGAACCTGCTCTGAAACCATGTTAAAGCTAGAACGAAGAATGATGAGTAGAAAGGGAACAGTACAAAGTTTGTATAGGCAAAACCTATCAGGGCTGTACCCCATGAGAAGTGCCCCTCTATAGCGTATTGTATAGTTCTGACAGCAAATGCATTCGCTTGCCATGAAGGCATTTTTCTTGCGTCCCCGCCTTCTCTCGTTCCTTCTCTGAAATTTCTCGTTCCCGTTCTTCCTTCCACTTTTCCTGTGTCCCCGTTTTCCCGCGTCCCTATTTCCCAATCCCCCTCACTCCTAGTTGCGTTCGCAAAGAGCACTGGCGTGGCGCCGTCGATCACGTGCAGCTAGCGCGCGCACGCGCTTGCTTGCTACCGTGCTCCTTGCGCGCGCTCGCTCGCTACGGTGGCTTCAGCAGTGGCAGTCGCTAGTGGCGGCGGACGAGCTGGGAACGTTGCGGACCGTTCGGGTAGCGCCGGGCGCACCTGGGTTCGATTGGCGCTGGTTCAATTCGATGTGAGATGGGGGCTAGCGCGAAGGCATGAGAATGGGAGGAGGGGAGGAAAGGGGGGGAGGGAGGAAAGAGAGGGGAGGGGAAGAAAAGGGAGGGGATGTTCCACATTACTCATCGAAATGCGTTACACCCTCTCCACCTTCCCTGTCTATGCTTGCTGTACCCCTTACACCCTCTCCCCATTCCTCTGTCATTTCCGTTCTCTCTGCTCTCCCAACCTACAGGTCTTTCCTCACCAATAGAGGTCTTTTGTCAAGCCCTGCATATGCCAAATGTCCAGCCTTTTTGAGCGTGGGGCAGCCTGGCTGATTTGAAAATACCGATTTGAAGATTTTCATTATTTGGCTCCATCCATAGTATGGATAATAAGGTTGCAATGCAACATTAGGCTTTTTTTCTCATTGTAACATGTGTTTAGTGCAGTAGGCGTAAATTGCGTGCTGTGTGTTTTATGTCAAACATTATATGTGTTGCTAATGTGTAGGCTACAGTGGGTTAGCCTTTAGGGGTTACAATACTCTAGGGTTTCATACTTGTACTCTCAATCTTCCTAGTGCAATCACTTCTCTCATTTTGACATGGTATTACGAGCCTAGGTTAGGAACCTAGGACCGCTTGTTCCTAAGGGCCCACCCTTCCGCTAGTAGCGCCCTCGAGCACCCTCTCACCGTCGCGCCCTTGTGCGCCTCTCTCCTAGTGCGCCCTCGTGTGCCTCTCTCTCTCTCTCTCTCTCTCTCTCTCTCTCTCTCTCTCTCTCTCTCTCTCTCTCTCTCTCACTCTCTCTCTCTCTCTCTCTCTCACACTGCCCGTGCGCAGCTCGCTAGCCGCCCGCGCGCGGCCTCTTTTTTTTCTAGCGCCCGCCCGTCGACCGGCCCGGCTGGCCTTCAAGCACGATGCAGCCCCGCCTGTAGGCAGCCGCGTCGCTTTCTTAGGCCGCTGCCCACGCGTGACTGCAGCCCATGCAAGACCGCTCGCCCCTAGGACGGCGCTCGACCCACCGCTGCTCGCCCGCAGGTCGCAGTCCGCGTGCAATGGCGATCGCGCGTCGGCTGCTGCAGCTCGCGCTTAGCTGCAGCATGAACCCAGCCGCGGCCTGAGCGCAGCTGCACCCTAGGCAACGCCACGCACCGTGCATAGGCCGGCCGTCGCGCCGCCCTACTTGCCTGAGCCGCGCCGCCCGAGTCGCGCCGCCCGAGCCGCGCCGCCCTGAGAGAGCCGCGACGCCCCATCTGCAGCACCTGTTGTTCTTGTTCCTGCTGTTACAGATGTTCTTCTCACTACAGCTGCTACTGCTACTGCTCTTACTGCTACTACAGCTGTTGCTACTGCTGCTACTGCCACTATGGCCTCTCCCACATTTCTCTCTTTCGATGCTGAGGGCCGTCCGCTCCAGTTTGAAGCTTGGCTCAACGATCTGCACCTGTTCCTCCAGATCACCGCTAAGGACAATGTCTCGCTGTATGACCACGCGTCCGGAACAGCTCTAGTACCTGCTGACACTGCTGACAGTAAAGCTTGCCCCCAGTGGCAGACTCATGACGCCCACGCTCGCCTAGCCATTCGCAGCCACCTGCCGTTAGATGAGCGCGCACACTTCGGCCAGCACAAGACTGCTAAGGCACTGTATGATGCAGTCGTCGCTCGCTACTCCTCGCCTGCCTCTGCTACGATAGGTCGTCTCTCGCTGCCTTATCTTTTCCCCGATCTCGCCGCCTTTCCCACAGTCGCTGACCTCATTACCCACCTTCGCACCAGTAACACTCGCTACCGCGCCGCCCTTCCTGCAGAGTTCCTCGCTAAGAACCCCCCCCCCCCCCCGATGTACCTCGTTCTCTACCACCTAGTCACCCGTCTCCCTGACTCTCTTCGCGCAGTTAGGGACACCTTTCTCGCTCTCTGCCCCACCAAGCTCACCATTGACCTGATCGAGAAGCATCTGCTTGCTGCTGAGGCTAGCATAGTTGCTGTAGGTGCCTCTCGTGGCGACCCCTGCACGCCCTTCTTTGAAGGGTGTTCCCCTCCCCCCCTTCTCCCCTCGGTTGCCTCTGCTGCCGCTGTCGACTTCCTTGGTGCTGAGGAAGTCGGGGCTGCGTCTGCTCCTAGCTGGAGGCGCAAGGGCAGCAAGGGCAAAGGGGGCAAGGGTGGTGGTGGTGCCAGCGGGGGGGGGGGGGGGGGTGGAGGTGGAGGTGGAGGCGGAAGGGGCGGTGGGGGTGGCGGCGGTGGCGAGGGTGGTGGCGGGGCTGGGGGGGTCGGTGGCAGCGGCGGGGGTGGTGGCGGCAATGGTGGTGGAGGAGGCCAGAGTGGAGGCGGTGGTGGTGGCGGCGGTGGGCGTGGTGGCGGCTGCACGGGTGGTGGTCGGGGTGGACCAGCGTAGCGTGGGGGTTTGGGTGGTGTTCAGCGCCAGCAGCAGCGTCTCGGAGAGACCCCGTCGTCCCAGCAGCTTCGTGAGTGGTACTCCCAGCATGGGGGGTTTGGGGGTGGAGGTACCTGCACGTATGTCATCCGCACAGGTGACCGCGCTGGTCAGACGTGTGGGAGGTTCCACACACCGCAACGCTGCTTCTTCCGTCTCGACGACGCCTGGCGTGCACAGTTCCCTGAGGCCTCTGAGCTGCCCCGCTGGGCTGATCGGCTTAAAAAGAACATAGATGTCTTTGCACTTGACTTTGATGTTATCCTTGGAGCCATGTATGCATTGACTATTAGTGTTGAGGGTGACTGTTACTTGTGTGTGCCACCAGACCCAGGCATTGCAACCAGTGAGGCTGCCGCTCTAGATGCTAGTGCGTCTGCTGCCCCAGGTCCTGGTGAGGCTGCTGCTCTAGGTGCAGGTGTGTCTGCTACTTCAGGTGCTTGTGAGTCTGCGCCCTCAGGTGCTGCGTCTACTGTGGCACTCCACACCTTCACACTGGACTCAGGTGCTTCCCACTGTTTCTTTCACGACCGCACTGCCCTAGAGCAGCTCCCTAGACCGGTTGCTGTCTCCCTGGCTGACCCCTCCGGGGGTCTGGTCCTTGCGACCTCTACCACTGCCCTCCCTTGTCCTGCTGTCCCGTCCGGCACACTGTCGGGCCTTTACCTCCCCTCGCTCTCTATGAACTTGGTGGCGGGTTCTGCGCTCCAGGACGCGGGTGTTCACCAGTTCACCCCTGCCTACGAGCGTGTGACGCACTGCACGTGTGCCCAGACGGGTCGTCACCTGGCTACCTTCACTCGGCAGCCGGGGTCGGACTTGTACGCACTGACCACTGAGTCCCCTCAGGTAGCAGCGTCTGCGTCAGGTCAGTTGTCCGCCCCCTGCTCGTGTCGCACCCTGTCGCACCGGACGGTCCTCTGGCACCACCGCCTTGGTCACCCTTCGATGCAGCGCCTTCGTGGCATGCACTATCGTTTCCTTGTCTCTGGTCTCCCCAGGTCACTACCTCCCCTGCCACCGTCCCCGGCCCCTCCTTGCCTTCCGTATGTCGAGGGGTGGCAGTGTGCCACCCCTCACTCCTCTGAGTTTCCCCCGACAGAGGCTCCTCTGCAGACCCTTCACATGGACGTGTGGGGCCCATCCCGCGTCCATGGACAGGGAGGAGAGCGCTACTTCCTGCTGGTAGTGGACGACTACATGCGTTACACCACGGTCTTCCCCTTGCGCACCAAGGGAGAGGTCCCTGCTGTCTTGATCCCTTGGATCCGCGCTACCCGTCTCCAGCTGGAGAGTCGCTTTTGCACGGACCTTCCCGTCCTGCGACTGCACTCTGACAGAGGTGGTGAGTTTTCCTCCGGCCTCTTGGAGACCTTTTGTCAGGGGGAGGGCATTCGCTAGACGTTCACGCTTCCGGCCTCTCCGCAGCAGAATGGGGTTGCTGAGCGCCACATTGCCTTGGTCATGGAGGTCGCTCGTACCTCCTTGGTCCATGCGGCTGCCCCCCATTTTCTATGGCCGTTTGCGGTCCGGTACGCCGCGCATCAGCTCAACCTCTAGCCCCGTGTCTCCGTTCCAGAGACCTCGCTGACACTGTGTTGGACGGGAGAGGTTGGCGATGCATCTGTGTTCCGGGTCTGGGGATCTCGTGCCTATTTCCGCGATACGTCCGCAGACAAGCTCTCCTCCCGCACCCTTCCTTGTGTCTTCCTGGGCTTTGTTCCTGACGCGCGTGGCTAGCAGTTTTACCACCCCACCACGCGCCGTGTCTTCCCCTCTCAGGACGTCACGTTTGACGAGTCGGTCCCCTTCTACCGTCTCTTCCCCTACCGCACTGCCCCGCTCCCCCCCCCCGCCGCTCTTCCTCACGCCAGGTGCTGCTTTGGTAGACCCCCTGCCTCCCCAGGGTCCTGCTCCCTCAGGTGTTTCCCACGTAGACCCGGTCGAGCTTGTCAAGGTAGCTGTCGACTCTGGTCCTGCGCGAGGTACTGAGCGTGCTGAGCCTGGCGTGCTGAGCCTGGTGGTGCTGGGTCTAGGGGTGCTGAGCCTGGGGGTGCGGAGACTGGGGGTGCTGAGCCTAGGGGTACTGTGACTGGGGGTGCTGAGCCTGGAGATCCTGAGCCTGGGGGTGCTACGCCTGGGGGCGCTTTCTCTTCCCAGCAGCTGCGTAAGTGGTATTCTCGGTACTGTCGCAGCCGTCGTGGTACTGTGGGCGCTGGAGGTGCTGCTGGAGCTGGAGCTAAGGCCGCTGGGCCTATTGGAGCCACTGGAGGTGCTTGTTGTACTGGGACTGGTGGTGCTGCAGGGGCTAGAGCTGGAGGGGCTGACACTCGTCCTCCTGCTGGTGCTGGAGCCGACGGTGCGGCTGGAGCTGGTGCTATTGGGGGTCCTAGAGTTGGCGCTACTGGAGCTGCTGGTGGTGCTGCAGGAGCTGGAGCTACTGGTGGAGGTTCTGATGCTATCTCTGCTGGTTCTTGGGGCACTTAATGGCCGTGGTCGTACTTCATTCCGCTCCTTCAGCAGGTTCTTGGTCAGCCACCTCCTCCTTGTCCTGCTCCCTCCTTAGGATGTCCTCTGCCTGTCCAGTCACAGTTACAGCCTACCTCACCACTCCCTGGTCCTTCTCCCTACACTTGTCCGACAGGAAGTCTTACGGAGCATCGTGAGCCTGAGTCTCGTCCTGTGTCGCCTGAGTCTCGTCCTGCGTCACCTGTTTGTGCTGCTCGCACTGGTCGTCGTGTCCCACGTTAGCGTCCTCCTGCTGTCTTGGGCACTCACCAGATGACGCTTGGTCCTTCCACTGCTCCACAGCATGTCCCTCTGCCTTCTCCTCCTGCGTCCTCCCTTCCTGCCCTAGCTGACCCGGAGTCTGACTCTCTTCGTGCTGCTAGTCCTACTGTCACGCGTCTCCTGGCCACTGCTGTCATTGACCCTTCCTTTGAGTCAGCTGCTGCATCTGCCTTAGTTGCTTAGCTTGTCGAATTTGCTGCTCACTGTCGTCTAGACTACACTGCGAGTCTTGTTGCTGAGTCTGAGTGAGTCTGTCCTCCGTCCGTCAGAGGTGAGTGTGCTCTTGGCACGGATGTCTTTGAGGACAGGCAAGAGGAGTTTGAGTGCTTTGCCGCTGCTGTACCCCATCTCGTGTCCATGCTGATTGCACCTAAGGGAGACCCGGATGCACCAGACATCCCCACCCCGCGCTCTTACGCTGAGGCGATCGCGGGTGAGTACTCCTCTCAGTGGCAGACAGCCATGGACGCAGAGATGGCATCCTGGAAGTCCACTGGCACTTACGTCGACGAGGTTCCCCCTCCTAGGGCGAACATCGTAAGTGGCATGTGGATTTTCAGGGTGAAGCGGCCGCTATGTTCTCCGCTTGTCTTCAAGGCTCGTTACGTTGCTTGAGGCTTCAGTCAGCGAGAGGGAGTTGACTTCTTCCAGACCTTCTCCCCCACCCCAAAGATGACCACTCTTCGGGTGCTACTGCACGTTGCCCCTCAGCGTGACTACGAGCTTCACTCTCTTGACTTCAGCACAGCTTTCTTGCAGGGCAGCCTGCACGAGGAGATCTGGCTGCACCGCCGACCTGGCTTCACTTGGTCGTTTCCTCCTGGTACCCAGTGGAGCCTCCGGCGGCCGGTCTACGGTCTCCGCCAAGCGCCTCGTGAGTGGCACGACACATTGAGGACTACACTTGCGGCTCTTGGGTTCGCGCCTTCTACTGCTGACCCGTGACTGTTTCTGCGCACTGACACTTCGCTGCCACCGTTCTACATCCTCGTGTACATCGACGACTTGGTCTTTGCCACTGCTGACACTGAGGCTCTTGCCCACGTGAAGTCGGAGCTGAAGAAGAGACACACGTGCACAGACATGGGTGAACTGCGCAGCTATCTTGGCTTGCAGACCACCCGGGACAGAGCACGCCGCACCATCACACTGACTCAGTCACACATGGTGCAGCAGGTCCTTCAGCGCTTCGGCTTCACGTGGTTCTCGGCACAGGCCACTCCTCTGGCTACAGGTCACTCGCTCTCAGCTCCACCTTCGGACGAGTCCGTAGAGCCGAGTGGTTCTTACCCAGAGCTAGTTGGCTGCCTCATGTACCTGATGACTTGCACTCGTCCTGACCTCGCGTACCCTCTTGGCCTTCTGGCTCGCTACGTGGCTCCTGGTCGGCACCAAAAGGTGCACATGGATGCTGCTAAGAGGGTACTGCACTACTTGTGCAGTTCATCAGGCATTTGTGCACCCTCCTCATTTTTTTCATTCGGTTTCTAGTCTAGCCCGCCTGGCTGGCAAAGCCATGGCGGAATACAGTGGGACACACCTCCTTTTCAAGAAGAAACCAACCCGCGCCTGGCGACTTACCTCGGATGGGTGGTATACACGTGAGCCACCAGCGCCTCCAGTGCCACCTACACCCCCTGCACTGCCTGCTCCGCCTGCTCCTACTGCACCTCCTGCTCCTCGTGCTCCTCCCGCTCCTCCAAATCCTCCGACTCCTCCTGTTCCTGAAGCGTGGGGTCACTATCGGCTCGTGCTCCAGTTATATTTTCCTGCCACTTTCGACGAGTGGTTGTCTGAACCGGACACACCCAAGGCTAGGCGAATCAATGGTCCGCCGACTGCACCTCGGTGGGGAAATCCTGAAGCCTGCACGTGGGACGAGTCGGCTGTGGGCGCCGACGATGACGTGGCCGCCGATAAACAACCCACATGCGACGGCGATGGTGGAGGCGATGGTGGAGTCGACGGTGAAGAGGGCGCCGAGGAGGACGTGTTCCCAGATCGTGAAGCTACAGACTCGGACGACGACGGTGTGGAGACTTGGTGGCGCGACGCACCACGCGAGAAGATGCCGATACCAACGTATCCGTCGATTAACAAAAAACAACCCCACCCCTCCTCTGAGAACCGAGATGCCCGCCCCCGCTCTCCCAGGCACAAGCCGACTCAACACAAACGGCAGCGCTACACCGCCCACGAGAAACTGAAGTGGCTCGTTCTGCTGGAGCTTGCTGCATCGATAAGCGAGTGTCAGAATGAGA